AAAGAACAAGCAAGTCTTGTAAAATAATTTAATTAAAAACCACAAACTTCGCTAATAAATATTTGTTGATATTTATTTTCTAAAATGAATTAGTAGATTTGTTACATTAATTTATTTAGAATTTGATTTTGAATTTTATTTTTGTTGCCTTATCAATTTTTGTTTAAAAATTGAAAATATTGCTTTTATTACTTGAGAAGATCAGTGAATTCTAAATTAGTTTTTAAAAAAAAATATGTATTTGATAATAATTAAAACATTAAAGTAAATCTTTATCAAAAAATAATACTGTTAAAACTGAAAAATTGATAAAAATTTAATTAATAAAATTACACATTAATTTTGATTTCATTATGATAACATAATTTTTATTGGTATTCAATAATTGGATACTATATATGTGAAACATAATGATAATGAATTATTAAAGATATTTTATTTAAATTTTTGAAAATTCAAATATACAATTATTATAATATAAAAATAATACTAAATTAAATGTCTAATAATTAAATATACAATGAAACTTAAAAATGCAATGCCAGATCTTTATAGATAATAAAATGATTATAATAAAAACAAATGTCCAATAAAGAAATAATCACATTTATTATCTCTGAAATTGTGAACTTGAATTTGAAAGGCCATCAAGTCCATATTCTTGATTATCTAGAATAAAAAAAAGAATTAAATTTAATAACCATATCACATTATAAATTATCAAATAGTTTAATATAAAATAATTAAATAATATTAATTAATGTATGAATTTCTGAAGTGTCAACACTAGTATTGCAAAGGGTATTTTCTTCAATTATATATAGTTACAAAACATAATATAATAAATTGAGTCTTTTCAAATAAAATATCAATCAACCTTATTTAACAAGTTAAAATAATTTTTTACTTTCAGAAATTTCAAATTTGGATTCAAATGCTAAATATATAAATTTGTGATAATATTATTTTAACATTGATTAAATAAATAATAATTTACTGAGATATAATAATTTGTGCAAATTAATTTACCATATTGTTCTTCTATAAAATAAATAAAAAATAATTAAAATTATAAAAAATAAAATAAAAAATAATAACAGAATATTTTTAATTTATTAACAATTGTTCTTGCATCAGGTCTATTATCAGGATTAGCATCCCAACATTTTTTCATTAAATTTATATATCCTTTGACTATGGCAAGTGATAAATCCGAATTATGTTCATGGTCACCAAAGGGAATTTCAACAGTTGTTAACTTCCACATTAACATGCCTATACTATATATATCAGATTTAGTTGTATAAATTTGATCACAGAGGACTTCAGGTGCAATATATGAGAGGTTTCCATAAATGCTATTTAATGGTTTGTCAACTGGTCCACTAAATCCAAGATCACTAATGTCCCAATTAAAGTTTTGTGCATTATATAAAAGATTTCCGGAATTTAAATCTCTATGTACTATATTTTTCTCATGAAATTTAATTAACTTAAATATCATATGATAAATAATATTATATCTTTGTATCCACGAAAGAGAGTAATGGTTATCTATTAAAAAGTGTTTTAAATCTTTTTCATAACAATATAAAACTAACATATAATCTTGGGTAATTGGATCTTTGGTAAGTCCATAACATTTGGCAAGATACGTAAAAGTATTATCAATTGTCACCTAAAATTGTATGTAAATATATTAATTAATATATATAATTATTAAACATAAATTAATAAATATTATAATAATAATTTAACTTACTTCTTGAAACCAATGCACATTATTACTATTTGAATTATTTAATCTTTTTAGAACAACCTTATGTCTTCCAAATCTTTCCAATATTTTTTTTTTTCAGAATTCCATTAATAATAGTGTCCATCTTTCCAAAATGCAGTATAAATAGAAGCACATCCTCCTTCTGTAAGATATTTTATATTCTCAAATTGATTATAACTAATCCATTCAATTATATGCTGTGGTGCTACAGTTTTTTGCTGGCATTCTTGAATTAATTTGTCAATTTTATTATTTCCAGATGTCCAATTTTTAAAATCATTTTCTAAATATTTACGAATACAAAATTCACAATATCGGGTTGCTTTGATATCAATCTATTTACATAACGTTTTCACTACATTTTTTCAGAGACGTGCTTGACTTCAGTCATTTATTAAATAAAAATATTTACTATATACATTTTAATACATCTAATACAAATTACATTTTTAATTTTTTTTTTTTTAAAAAAATAAAATAAATAAATCATATTATCTATCTATATATATTTATTTAATCATATTTTGGTAGAGGAGGTCGCCTGCTAAGTTTAGGATCAAATTGTCTAAACTCTCTTTCCATATTTTTAGTAATTCTACGTAATCCTTCTTTAGTACGTATAGAAGGTGGTGAAGAAGATGATGAAGATGAAGATGATGAGTAGGAAAAATTAGTTGAAGTAACTTTTTCCCATAAACCTTCTATATCTCGATATTTTCTAGCTTCTGTAGTAAATAAATGTACAAAAATTGAACCAGTATCTATTAACATCCAATCTTCGGAATCTCGTCCTTCTACAATTGGATAATTTTTAATAGAAGATTTTGAGGAATTTGCATTAAACTGTTTTATTTCGTTTTTTAACTATTAAAATCATATTAAATATAATATAATAATAAATATATAATAAATATAATAAATATAATAAATATATAATAAATATAATAAATATAATAAATATCAAGAATATAAAAAATATACCATTTTATATAAACCATCCACCGAACCTCCTAAATGCCTAGTACTTTTACCTTCCCCAATTATAATCCAATCGGCAAAATCACATTTTTGCCTTACATCTATCAAGGTAATATTTTCAATTCCATCTTCTTCCAAATGTCTTACGATATTCAAAAAATTTCTACTCGGATGTAATAAATTATCTTTCTGAAATGATGATGATAAATGTGAAAATTGACTTGATTCGGAAGAAGGAGAAGAAATATTTGCGGCTTTTCTTTGCCATAAAGGAATGAATTCATCAATAGGTTTATTTTGATTATCTTGATCATCTTTGGTTTTTCTTATTCTTTCTTCTTGGGGATTTTCATAAGCTGGATCTACAAACCAAACATCATCAGCGTCATTATGTTCACGTTCTTCATCATAATATTGATTTAATTCTTCTTCGGAAGGAAAGAGTTCTGGATATTGTGAACGATCTATTTCTTCAAGTTCTCCTTCTTCTCCCTTTGCCTTGATATTTGCATTTGCACTTACATTTTCTTCATTATCCCTATAAAAATTTTCTTCATTATTATTATAAACCTTTTTTTCGTTATCATTATAAAACTCTTTTTCGTCTTCCTCGTCTCGGAATACTTGGTTATGTCTAGCATTTGTAATATTAGGATAAGAACGAAATGTAGAAAATTGCCTTGATAAATTTTGTGATATTTGTGATTTATTATTGTTATTATAATTATTATTATGTTTCCTTCCAATAATTTTAAAATTTAAATTTAAATTTTTATTAATATTAGAATAATAATAATAAGGTCTTGTAAAATTTCGAATTAAATTCATAATTATTTAATTATCTGTGATTGTCCTTTGGGATTTTCAAGATTTTCTTTTTATGGAAAAAGTAGAACAATAAACGTGATTCTGTATGAATGGAATTTTTCCCTAAAGATGTAACAATTGCAACAATTATAACGAAAAATTCAATAAATTTTTTTATATATCATGGGAGATCCTCAACAACCAAGTGAATATCGTAAAAAAATATTTTCCAATAATTTACAAGGCTTAGATGCTGTATGTGAATAAAGTTCATTATAAACTAAAAAAAATTGAGAAATTAAAAAATAAAAATGAAATGTTTATTATTATATAATAATCATAAAAATATATATATAGTATTCCCGGCATAAAAAATTTATGAAAGATTATGTATTCTTTTATGGACGAAATAAAAATCAAACTAACACTTCAAATATATACGAAGAGACTAAAAATGATTTTGATATATTGAAAGAGAATCATAAGTAATATCTTTATACAAATAATTTTTATTATATAATTCAAATTAGATATACATATATAAATTAAATATAAAATTAAATATAAATCAAATATAAATTAATTAGATTTCTTCGTTCTGTGGAAGAAGAAGAAGAAGAATTAACATGGGAACAACGAGTTGCAAAAAAATATTATGATAAATTATTTAAAGAATATTGTATTGCAGAATTGAAGTATTATAAAGAAGGCAAGGTAACATAAATAATGATATGATAAATGAATAATAATAATAAATATAAATAATAAATAAATAAATAATAATAAATAATAATAATAGATAGCTTTACGATGGCGAATTGAAAAAGAAGTGATATCTGGAAAAGGTTAAACTTTACATATTTATTAATTGTTTGTTATTTGTTATTATTATTATTATTATTATTATTATTATTTAATATTTGTTATTGTTTTCTTAATTTTAAATAGGTCATTTCATTTGTGCATCGACCAAATGTTCCGAAAAAGATGAATTAAAATCATGGGAAGTTAATTTTGGATATATAGAAGATGAACAAAAGAAAAATGCATTAGTAAAAATTCGACTTTGTCCTACTTGTTCGGACAAATTGAATTATAAAACTCGACATCAGGAAGCAAAGAATGAAGAATTAATCGATAGGGAACATAAAGAACGTAAAGAGAAAGGAGAACATAGAAATGAAAGGCATGAAAAACGAAAAAGAAAGTTATACGAAGATCAAGAAGAATATGATGATGATGATGATAATAATACGAATAATTCTAAACAAATTAAATATGGTAAATGTATATAAGTAATTTCATTATTTTATATAATTATAAATTATAAGTGATTTAATATTTATATTTTTTATATTTTTATATTTTATATTCTTAGATGACAAGTCAAAACAATTAGAATACACAGAAAAGAAATTATCTCGAAAAAATGAATTTGATGAATATTTTATAGGATTATTTGATTAAAACAACTCCTTCAAATAAATATTAATAATAATTAATGATAAATAATGATAAATAATGATAGATAATTAATGATATTACAACATTGACAATATTTATTATTGATTCATTGATTTATTGATGTACATATAATACACATATACAATATATAATATATAATATGTTAATTGTAAAATTATTATTATAATTTTATAAATATAATATACATATGTACAATATATTCATTATCAAAAATAAATATATAAAATCAAATGTAGAATCAAAGTTATAATAAATGATTTATTATTTCTTATTATCTTTATTATTATCATTATTATCAATAGAAGTAGAATTATTACTATTATATTCAACAAAAATTCTTTTACCATAACCTATTAAATATTAAAATATAGAAATATCAATAATCAATATAATAATTCATATAATTAATATAATTATATGTAATTTAAAGAAATGTATACCTGGTATTGTAACAATTAAATATTTGGTATACCATTTTCCATTATCATCCTAAACCATATATTATGTGTTTAATTCTTATAATATATATTATTTGTTATAAATATATGATATGAATATAATAAAATCATAATTACTTTAACCATATCAAGTAAAGCTTTTCCTTGTGATATAGAACCTTGAACATGAAATTGTAATAATCTATGTCTAGTTCCATCAACATTTTTTACATCTTGAAAACTATATATAAAAAAAAAAGAAAATAAAATAAATAGAAATAATAAAATAAAATAATAAAATAAATAAATAAAAATAAATAAAAAATAATAATTATTCAAATAATTAAATTAAATTTACTTACTAAACCCTTCTAGCACGTAATCTAGAACCAGAATGAGGAATTCCTTGACCTGTCATTGGTAATCCTAAAACTTTCTGACACTAATAAAATAATTATAATAATAATAATAATAGTAGAACACTAAATAAAAACACCAGATATAATAAATATAACACTAAATATAATCAAATATAAACCTCATCATTATTTCTAATCTTATCAAGTGACTCACTAAATACTTTAGTAGAACTTGATGGACCAAATAATTCTGTTATAACAAAATATGAAACTATTCCTATTTATAATATTATATAATATTATATAATATTATATGATATTAAGTGATATTAAGTGATAATAATTATTATTATTATTAATTATAATTATTTTAATTTAATTTACTATAATATAATTTAAGATATTTACCAAATAATCCAATTCCTATTACAATTATACTAAAATTTGACGTCACTTTTGCTGCTCCAATCACTATTTAAATAATATAAATGTATAAAACAATATAAGCAATAAGACATTAATAACGATAATTAAATCAATTAATATAATCGATAATAAATATTATTAATATCAATACCTTTTTCTCCCGTTGATAATTCACTCCATTCTTTTACTTTTTTACGTTTTATAATTTCTGACGCATTTTTTGTATTTTTATCATTTTTAATATTGGAATGTCTTGTAACAGTATTCAATGTACGTTTATTAAAATTATTATTATAATTATTATTATTATTAAAATTATGGCATTTGTTATTATTCTTGGGAAATGAAATTGTGATAGATCTAAAGAAATGAAATCTTTGTTGAAATGATTTAAATGGTTTGAATAATATTTCATACGAATTATTAATAGAATTGTGATGAGAAGGATATAATTTTATGCGATTGAGAATAGTCATTTTTTCAAAAAATAGATTGATAAAAATTCAATTTATTAATTTATATAAATTTGATTATCATTTTATCATTACACTGCACTGAACACAAATTATCTCTCTTCTCTTTTTTATTATATTTCTATTATTCTTCTTTCTCTGATTTACCAAATAATATAGATAATATAAATAATATTATATTCATTATATCTCAAATTTTATAATTATATATAATGGAACAAATTTATCAAGAATTTGATCAATATGATTTTGAGGATGATATTAATTTTCAGGTAACAAGTAATTAGATATTAAATATTAAATAATTAAAACATATTCATATATATACATATATACATATATATACATAATGTATTTATATTTCAATTAGTCTGGATTACCATTAATTCTTCAATCTCGATCTCATGAAAATAAATCAAAAGAAGAAATAGATCAAATTATAAAAAAGGCAAAATGGTTTTATTTTTCAAAGTAAGGAAATTTAAATTATTATTATATATATATATTATTTATTAATTTTATTTAATTTATTTAGAGTTTTCAAAAAATTTGATTATAATGATTATCTTGTTTGGAAAAAATCAAATAATAAATCATCTTCTTTAACAATAAATGAAATAACTGAAATAAATGAGAATAAATCTTCTTCTTCAACAATAAATGAGATAACTGAAATAAATGAGAATCAATCTTCTTCTTCAACAATGAATGAGATAATTGAAATAAATGAGATAACTGGAATAAATGATAATTCAGATTCTAATAATTCAATGTCTCAAGGTAATAATAATAATAATAATAATAATATAATAATAATTTAAATGAGAATAATTTATTATTTTTATATATCAGAAACTTTACAATATCCAAAATCTTTTCAGCAAGTAATAGAATTGATTACTAGTGGTCAACCAATACCAGGTAACATTTAAATTATTTACTATTTATTATGTTTTAATATTTTTTCAAATTATAATTATAATTATTTAATTTATAACTAATTAATTATTATTAAATACTATAAATTGGATAATAAAGGAATCAAAACAATTCCTAATGAAATAAATCAAGGAACCCCTTCTCATTCTAAATTGAAACAAAGGAAAAAACCTTGGGAAAAAAAAAATTAATTATATTTATTATATTTAATTAATTAATTACTTATTTCATTTTAATAAATAATTATTTATTTGTATATAATTTCCTTTATCTAATATTGATAATGGCAACAACAATAATAATATCCACATTTTACAATTTACAGTTTATAATTGATTTGTCAATTTTTCTGTTGATTCATCTTCTTCATTAATATTAATTCCTGTTCTACATTCCATTAATATATAATTTATTAAATCTATTTCAAAGCCAAATTTTTCTATTAATTCTAATTTGATTAATTTAAAATCCTTTTCTTTCATTTCTGTTGTTATTTCTTTTATTTCTGATATTGTGATTATTTCTTTCATTTCTTCTTCTTGTAATTTTTGATTTATTTGATTCTTTAATTTATTTATTATCATTTCTATTTGTATTTTTTCATTATTAAATCTCTTATTGATGAAGTTAATTTTGGACCAAGTTGATATTGTCATGATTTTATGAGCATGAAGAAAACACAATAATGAAATTTTCAAGATAAATTTTGATTTATCATTATTTTTCTTTTTATCATCATCATTTTTTGTTGTATTATTATTATTATTATTATAACAAGAAATAAAAAGATTTCCTATTTCTTTCCATGTATTATAATCATTTTTTCGCATTTGATTATATTTAATAAAGTATTGAATGGAATCTATAAATTAATTAAATTAATCAAATTATTATCATATATATTTAATTATCATATATTCAATTATCATACATTTTTTAAATATTATTTATTTATTAAATTATTACCTGTATATTGTTCACCTCTTGCATAAACTAATCCTTTAAAAAATATATGTCCAGGTTCATTTGATACCAATTTATTAACACAATTTACAGCCAAATTCACATTTCCTAACTTCAAAGCACTCCGAGCTGCAATTTCTAACATATCTCTTGTATTAGTTAACTTATTTGGATTGTTATTTATGGTATCATTATTATTCTTCTTCTTCTCAATTTTATTATTATTATCTTGATTTTGATTATTGTTATTCAAGATATTATTATTGTTATTATTATTATTATTATTATTATTATTATTATTACTTTGATTTTGATTTTCAACAAATTCAATATATTCCAAAGATAATCTTAATGCTTCTTGAAAATTTTTATGTGAATAATAATGTTCAATTGAATTTTTTAATTGATGTGGACCAAATTTTTGTTTGAGTAATTCTGAAGTTGAAATATTTGAATTATGGAAACACTAAATTTTACATTATATAAGTAACAGTTAATACATAATTATTATTATTTAAAAAGATAAAGATTATACTTACTCCATCATAATCATGTTTGGGTACATATTTTTTTTCTTGGTTTTTATTATCTTGATTAATTTGACTGTTATTATTGTTGTGAATATGATTATTTTGCTTATTTTCTTCTTCTTCTTGATCTTCAAAATATCCAAAATTAAAAATATCCAAGAAATTATTATTATTATTATCAGAGTTTTCGGAGGTTATTATTGATTCAAACATTTTTAGTTATAAGTCTCTTTGTGGAATTATTAATTTATCAAAAACGTGATTTACACCATGTGTAACAAAGAAGTGTGAAGCTTTTTTTTGACATAAATACAAATTTCTTTGATTTGAATTTTTCGAGTTTCTTGCAGAGTTGCAGAGAATTTTAAATCGTTAATTTAATTTAATTTAATTAATTTAAATTTAAATTTAAATTTAAATGGATAATAGATGTTTTTGAATTTTTTATCTAACTAAATAAGAACAAATTATTTATTAAAATTGTAAAGATTTTTTATCACTTTGTATTTTTTTTTTTTTTAATTTTATTTTCCCTTTCTATTATTTCTTTAATATTTCTTTTACTTTAAAAAAAATGATGGTGATAATTAATTTATCATTGTTTAAATAAATTATTATTATTTACAAAACTACTAGGCATTACTAAGTATTTCATTTTTATTTTTATTGGCAAAAAAAAAAAAAGTGGTAACAGAGATATTTTAATATAACTATATTGATATCTACATTATTATTAATTTTTTTTTTTGTTGAGAGCATATATATACATTCTCATTATAATCGTTTAAAAAAACGAAATAAATAAAATATAAAAAAAAAATAAAAATAATAATATGTCGGAAACAAGTGAGGATGTTATCAGTTCCGCCGAGATGTCGGTACGCCCTTTTTTAATTATTTTAATTATATCTGATAATATATATATATATACATACATACATATATATATATATATATGACACCACTAATATAATAGCATATATTAAAGTTGTCTTCTTCCCGAGATTGAGTTATTACTATTATTATTGATATTATTGATATTATTATTATTTTATTTTTATTTTTTTCCAAATCTGCGTAATAAAAAAAAGACGACTTCGATAAATGAAAATGATAAAAACTTTAGTTATGGTAAAAATAATAATAATAAAAATAATAATAATGATGATGATGATGATGATGAGAAAGAATTGGATGAGACAAGTAAAAGGAAGAAAGGGTAACATTTAATTAAAAAAAAATTTTTTTTTGGTATTTATTTATTTATTTATTTATATAATATTTAACTAATTAATTAAAATTAACTTTTATTATTATTATATCTAATTGGAGAATAGCCTTGCAGCTTTAGCTACGGCTAATTGTCATGTTGGTGCTCATATCAAATGTATAAGACATACAGAAGATATTTTTAATCCTGAAGATCCCAAGATTCGTGAGGTGAAATTTATTCCATTCACTTGATTGATTCATTTAAAATATAGTTATAATTAAATTATTAAATTTAATTATTTTGGATTTTATTATTTTTATTTTTATTTTTTTATTTTTATTTTATAGGATATAATTCGAATGATAATTCAATATCTTTCTGATGAAGGTTATACAGCATCAAAAATGACAGTTTATGATGAAGCAAATGTGAAATGGCATGAAAGAGAAGAACGCGTGGTAGAAGTTAAAAGATTAAAAAAAGCATTACTTGGTAAAAATTATTCTTAAATTAATTTTTTGAAATCTTTTAAATAAATTAAAAATTAAATTAAAAATTGAATTAAATTATTATTATTATTATTATATAGATGGTGATTGGGCAGAAGTTGATAAACTTTGTATAAAACCATTAGTAAAGAATCATAAAAGTTTTTTATATGCTGTTTATAAACAGCAATATCTTGAATACATTGAACATCAAGAAACCCAAAAGGTCAGTAAATAATAATAATAATAATAATTAATATATTGAATCAATTAATTTAATTAATTTTGATATCTTTTTAGGCCTTCACTTTTCTCAATAAAAGGTTGAAACCACTTGAACATCTTCAAACAACACCTAACGAATTTAAAGATTTATGTTATTTGTTAACTGCAAAAGCTGTACATGACGCACCATCATTTAGAAATTGGGATGGTATAGGTCCTGCAAGGTATATATACATAATATTCACAATATCCACAAAAATATTTATTAATTCTTATTTTTATTTTATTTTTTTTTTTAATTATGTAGAGTAAAATTGGTAGAACAATTTCAGAATATGCTTAATTTTGAAAATACGGAAAAGGATGGTATGCATTAATCATCAATACTCATTAATAATAATACTCGTGTAAAAATATATATAGATATATATCACGAGATAGGAAACTCTTTCAAAAAAAAAAAAAAAAAAAAAAAAAAAAATACGTGTGTCATCTTTTGTGTTGTTGTTGGAAAAAAAATAGCAGAAACATTCAATGATTTCTCACCGAGAAAGGTTCCGTTCACGTACCACCCAATCGACTTCTTACACTACTTCATCAAGCATTTGCATATCAAATCGAATTTTCGCGGTATCACCCTCGAGTGGCTCCACGTGTAAATACGTAAGTATTTGATATTTTTTTAAACTTATTTTAAAAATGATTCTAATATAGTATTATAATTATAAAATAGATTGTTACAAGATTATACCAGTTTCGTTATACCAAATGCAGTACGTGCAACTTTAATTGGTCATCGTAGTAATGTGAAATGTGTAGAATTTGTTGGAGAAGGAGGACGAGAAATTGTTAGTGGTTCCAGGTAAATTGATGAAAAAACTTTTAAATAATTTTTAATAACTTAAATAATTTTTAATAACTTAAATAATTTTTAATATCTTAAATAACTTAAATAATTTTTAATAACTTAAATAATTTTTAATAACTTAAATAATTTTTAAATCATTATTTTTGTTTTAATTAATATATATTTAATCAATATTAGTGATAATACATTAAGATTATGGGATACCGAAACATCAAAAGAAATTTCAGTTTTGGAAGGTCATGAATCACGTATTTGGGATGTTTCATCCAATAAACATGGGACAATGGTTTCAAGCGCAAGTGGAGATGGGACAATCAAAGTTAGTTTAATATCAATAATCAATAATAATAATAATAATAATAATAATAATTTAATATATCAATAATAATAATAATAATAATAATAATATCAACAATCAAATAATAATTTGTTGTTATTTTAGTTATGGGATATTAAAGCGAATCAATATACTTGTGTATCTTCTTTATCTGGTAATTCAAGTGACGTTTATACAGTTAAATTTCATCCAGGAGATGTAAGTGTTTCCATATACAACACAAAATATATAATATATATATACATATATATATATATATATATATATATATATATAATTATTTTTATAATTATTTTCATCTTTTCATATTACAAAAAGAATCATGTTGTTAGTGGAGGTTATGATAAAATCATCAGACTTTATGATATTGTGACTGGTCAATTGGTAAAGATATTTACAGGTCATGAATTGTCTGTATCGAAAACTATCTTTAATCCTTTGGGAAATTTGATAATTAGTGGGTAAGTTTATATTTTTCTATATATATATAAATAATTACATAATTAAATATTTAAATAATGTTTATCACTTTTAATTTAATTTTATTTAATTTTTTTTTTCTTCTTTAAAGTTCAAAAGATAACACAATAAAATTTTGGGATATCGTATCAGGATTATGTATAAGAACAATATCATCTCACTTAGGAGAAGTCACTTCGGTAGCAATGAATTCCAATGGAACTTTATTACTTAGTAGTTCCAAAGATAATTCTAATAGATTGTGGGATGTTCGAACAGTAAGAATTTATTGAATTCTTGTAAAAATGTTTATTGTTATTGAAACATCTTGTTTATCATTATGTATGTATTTACCGTTATAAAAATGAAATGTTATAGGGACGTCCCATTAAAAGATTAAAAGGACATCAAAATACTTCAAAAAATTTTATTAGAGCAGGATTTGTAAATAATTCTTTAATTGTTGGTGGTTCCGAGGTAAACCGAATTTATTAATTTTTTTTAATTTTTTTTTTTCATATCACAAAATATATAATTTAATTTAATTTAATTTATGAAATTAATTTATTTAAATTAAATTAATTAATTTTTTAATAAGGATGGTATTGTTTATATTTGGGATCAAGATACAGGAGAAGTTTTACAAAAATTAAGAGGTCATGGCGGTATGGTTTATGATTGTATTTGGAATCCTAAACAAAGTTTATTTGTTAGTTGTAGTGATGACAAGACATTAAAAACTTGGTGGTATGATGAAAATCTTCCACTAGAATTATAATTTATTATATAATTTATTATATGTAATTTATTATGTAATTTATTATTATAATTTATTATATATAGTTTATTATTATATATATATATATTTTTTTTTGGTTGGAATAGAAAAACAATTTTATTTTTAATGTTTTCTGAATATTTTATTAATTTATATTAATAAAATACAATTATTTATTTATAATAATAAAATACATGTTATTTATTTATATATAAGGAATATACAACTAATATTATAATAATAATAATAATAATAATAATAAACTAAAAATTATTATAATAAAAGAAACTAATAATTAATTAAAATAAGAATTATATAAAAAATAAATAAATCCAAATAAAAACGATTACCTTGTAAAAATTACCTTTAATGCAACCTCTCTAACGCATCTACTAATATTAACATATCATTCTTAATGTTCTGAGTGTGTCTTACTATTTTCTCCTGCGATTATCAAATAATAATAAATATAATAAAACATATAAAATAGTAAATATAATAATATAATAATATAATAAATAAATATAATAAATAATATCAAAAATTTACCTTTTTATCTAAAACTTCGATGGACTCCGTGAAAGGATTATAACGTACAGAATAAGGTCGTTTCAATGTATTGGCAAAATCTCGTACCTTTTGTTGCGCGTCTTTGAATGAATCCGCAACATAATAAATCTTTAATACAAAATAATAATAAAAAAATTATATTTAATATAAAAAGCAATAATAATAATAATAATAATAATAATAAACGCGATATTATTAAATACTAACTGGTTGGTATTCGGTCACAATATATTTTTGATATGCTGTCTTATGAGGATCGAATAATCTTTTTTCTGGTTTATCCGTCAAACAATACTATAATAAATAAACAAACAAATAAATAAATAGATTCTAGATTAAATTTAATATCTAAATATTTTGTATATAATTCTTACCTCAAGTTCACCAAACGAAGATAACAATCCGGCTCCATATGCTCTTATTTCATCTCCCTGGCGACATAATCCAAATTCAACTGTGAACCAATAAATCTATTTTCAAAAAAAAAAAAAAAAAAAAAAAAAAAGTGTGAATAATCTTTTTTTTTTTAATGATTGTAAAATTTATAAAATGACATAAATTAATGGAACAAGAAAAAAAAAATACCGTGGATAATTTTTCTATATCTTCATCACTAACTCCTAATGACGCTAATCCGATTTCCTACCGTAATAAAATATTAATAAAAATATTAAAAAGGGGATTTTGTATTTTTATATGCAAAAATAAGTATATTTTTTTATAATAATAATTTTATTTACTTGAGAAAAATCCGCAAAATCTGGATCACAAAATAATGGAACCTTTAAAAAAATGAAGAAAAAAAATTTTTTATATTAATCAAAATTAATTGACTACATAATAGTTACATAAATTATTAGTAAACTCGCGTAAGTCGCGTAAAGATGTACTACTTACGTGACCAAGCAATTCGTGACAAATATCTCTATAAAATGAATGAAAATATTTTGTATTTAGTGTTAAAATTACACTATTGTACTATTGTATTATTACTGCTAACATGATTTCTAAGGAAAGCTTACGGTTCGGGTGTATAAAAAGGTTTCGAATGATGACGAATATATTGAGTTGAATGAAAAACGCGAAATGCGAGACCATTGAGAAAATCTCGTGATGAAAGTAATCCCATAACTGGACGAAGAGTAAAACCTGTACAATCTAAAATAATAAAAATAATAAAAAATAATAATAAATTATTATTATTATTATTATTATTATTATTATAATATTAAATAAATAAATCATAAAATTTGTAAATTTATTTAATTCATATATTCCATATATATATAATGTAAAATTCATACCCTTCAAAAATTTAGAAACAATTTCTAATTGTGGAATATTATCTTCTCTGTATCCACAATTTTGTTGTAATAATGGGAATACGTGTTGATGTTCTCGACAAGCATGAGTAGGATATTTTTCTATTAAATTACGAAAGACAACACCCCAAGTTGCAATTTCTTCGGGTGTGTAATTGACTGAAGGAATTGGTTGTCCGTGACGATAAGTTTTGGCGAATCGAGTAATCTCTGTACGTCGTGTTCTATAAACTTGATCCTTAGCACCTGGATGATCGGAATCTTTATTATAAATAAAAAAAAGAGATATATATTAATTTCCTTTTTTTTTTCAAGAACTAATTTATGTAATTTTTTAATGAATTTAATAATTTAATAAATTTAATAAATTTACCAAGTTCTTCTCCCATTTCCAAAACTTTATTAGCAAAAGTATCAAGATCGGACTTTTTTTGGGGAAACCATGGAACTTGTTCTATTAAAAATAAATAAATATAAATATATATATATATAATTTAAATTATTCTACAATATAAATATATTTACAAAACAATTGATTTACATACCTTCGGTAGCTTCTGAAGTACGTGTGCTAACAATTTTTACTTGTTTGGTGACTTCTCTTAAAGCTTCCACTACGCGAGTAAGTTGTTTAGAATCTTCCGCGTTAAAGTCAACAAAAAAATCATAATCCCAACCAGGAGTTTTACTTGGACGACTTAAAATAAATATATATAAATAGAAGGATATATAAATATTTTTGAAATAAGTTTATTTTAATATGTAAGGAAAGTTAAATTACCTTTCAATTCTTGTTAACGAAATGCTTAAATTTTTAAGTACGGATAAACATTCGTCTAAAATTCCTACACGGTCTTCAACACTAAAAAGAAGAGTGGTGAGGAAAGGACCACTCCCATTTACTTCTGCGATATGAGTTACTTCTGAATACATTTTTTAAAATATGAAATTTGAAGGAAATTAAGGAAATTAATAAGGAAATTGTCTGAATTTACATAAATTTTGACCGTGAGAAATCTAAAAAATAAAAGCTTTTTATTGGCTTACACAATCATTAAATAATCCCGATTTTTCTAATTTTAATTTTTTCAATTAATTATTTGACATGTCATTCACGACTAATAATATCGGTTTAACTAATTTAAATAACAACTTAAAAAATAACAAAATTACAGGCGGTGATATTGAATATGAACGTATTTCTCGCGCACTTAACTCTTTGGTTAAATATTTTCTACATGAAGTTTCCCCTTTTGAACCGAATAAACCTATTAATAAAGAAACGGTAGGAGGAGGAAAAACTAACAATACCGAGTTATTAACAACGCGACAACAACATACTTTTGATTATTGTATGAGAATATTGAGCAGGTCTTTTAATAACTCTTATTTATTTACTTTACTTTCATATTATTTATTTATTTATTAATAAAAACGCGAAATAAAGTTTATTATTACGAAACTCGTTTTCTAATAATTATAATATATTATTAATAATAAAAATATTAATATTATTATTATTATTATTTCATTATTTTAATAGTCGACTGATTCCATCTATAACAAGTGATGAATTACATGTATCCGATCTCATAAAAAAAAAGTGTAACAAACTTATTTAATATATATAATGTTGTAATGTTAAATATTTTATTCGTAAAACTTATAAAATTTATTTATTTATTTATAGTGATTCGAGAGCATAAATCTTCTTCAAAAGCTTTACGTTTCGCGAATTTATTCACTAAATTACAATCACAGGTAATGAATCAATCTGCTTATGTTTGTATTTGTATTTATATTTTTCATTTTATATTTACAATTTCGCGTTGAGTTAACGTTTTGAACTCTTTGAATTTGTTTGAACTGTTTTAATGTTATTGTAGTCTATAGTAACACGTAAATGGTCAGTGTTATATTTCTTATTATCGGTTAGCGATCAATCAAATAGTAATGAAATGACCGGAATTTTATATACTGCAGTAAGTTCAATCAATTTCCAAAATTTGATTTCGCGATAACTAAAATAATAATAATAATAAAATTTGATTCTTTTTAATAGCCGATAGAACAAACATTCTCATTTCGGGGATTGCAGAATATACAGAATATATCATCAATTACACCTTCCCCACCCAGATCAACATTAAGGATACAAAAAGAAGATCCCTTACCAATTAAAACTGGTTTCCCTAAACCTGATCTAGATAATAATTGTAAGCAATTGTCTTTTCAAATCTTATTTAAATCTTCAAATATTCGAAATATTTATATCAAATGATCGTAAAATTTTTTAATTTTAATTTAAAAAAAATTTATTTTTTTTTTGTAATTAGTAAATAATAAATATAATTCCGAGAAGTTATTATTACGAGATATTATATTTATATTTCAAGGAATTAATGGACAATACATCAAATGGGATAGTGAAGCAAAATCATTTATTATTGATTTGAAGGTAATTTTTGGTAATATTTATTTAATTTTTATAATCGTTCTTTATTATTTAATTTATTTAATTTGGAAATATTCTTAGATATCCATTAATCGATCAACCGTAGATTTGTTACATAGACTTTCAGAATTAGGTTTTCTTTATCGACGAGTAGAAGAATTTGTAAAAATGAACGCGAATGATCCATTTATTGGATTAGTCGGTCAGGTATAAAAGAAATTTATTTATTTATTTATTTAGAAATTCGTTTATTGGTAAATTATTATTTCTTTTTTCATAATTAACGAAAGTTTATTATTAGGCTTTTTGTTCCGTTTTGCAACATGAATTAACGGAATATTATAGATTTATCGCAAATCTTGAAGCTACCATCACTAAAGAAGTTGATAATCAACAATTCTTAACCAATGGTATCTCTTTGAAACGTTTATTAGTATGGACTCAAGATTCATTATTCAAATTAAGGATTATGTCCGTATTAGTGGATTGTTGTAAAGAAAAAAGAGGTGGTGCTTTGGTTTCAACAATTTATAATTATACAAATCATGGTGATCCATTCATTCAGGAATTTATTAATAAAATGCTTGAAGAAGTAAGCCTTTATTATTAATTGTTTCTTTTAGGAGGTGTGTTGTTGTTGTTTCTTTAGATGCTTTGTTTAATTTAAAATTGTATCAAAGATTTCGCGTCCATTTTTTGAAATGTTACAACGTTGGATATATGAAGGCGAATTGGATGATCCTTTCGAAGAATTTTTTGTTTCTTGTGATCCAAACGTGCAAGAAGAAGATTTATGGCGATCAAAATATTCGATTCTTAAAGATATGCAACCAACTTTCATTAGTGAATTACTTGCCAAAAAAGTTTGTAGATATTAATTTTATATTATTATTATTATTATTATTATTATTATTATTATTATTATTATTATATTTCATTATTATTTTTTATAAATTCATTTTTTTTTAATTTTTTTTTAATTTTTTTTTTTACAGATATTTTCTATAGGAAAATCGCTTAACTTCATACGTTATAGTTGTCACGATAATGATTGGGTGATTACTAATGCAAAAGTTGCTGGAATGAATAAATGTATAAATTTAAAAGTTAAAAATAATTGAAGGAATGAATGAAATGAGAAAAAATTTTTTTACGTTTGTTTTTTTATTATCAATAATAATTTTTTTTTTATAGCATTGAAATATGGAGATATGGTAGCATTAGAGAGTTCTATAGATGCAACTTATACTGCCACAAGTCAAAGACTTTTAAATATATTATTTACAAAATATAAGTTAAAAGAACATTTCATTGCCTTAAAACGTTATTTATTACTGGGACAAGGTGATTTCATACAACACTTGATGGCTCAACTTGGGTAAGTTCTTATTTGATAGCCATATGATCTGATTAATAAATTATTATTCTATTATTATTATTATTATTAAATTATTATTATTCTATTATTATTATTATTATTAAATTATTATTATTCTATTATTATTATTAAATTATTATTATTCTATTATTATTATTATTATTAAATTATTATTCTATTATTATTATTATTATTATTAAATTATTATTTTACCAATTATAAAAAAAATTTAAAAAAATTAGACCTGGTCTTGGAAAACCAGCTACCACAATTTATCATCACAATCTTACCGGTATTTTAGAAGCAGCCATTCGCGCATCTAATGCCCAATACGATGACCCAGATATCCTTCGTCGATTAGATGCTGGGCTTTTAGAGGTTCTTTATATTTTTAATTTTTATTTCATTATTTTCATTATTGAAATTTATATTAATTTATATTATTATTAATATTTTATTGAAAAATTCAATAGGTTTCCTCTGGTGATGTTGGTTGGGATGTTTTCAGTTTATTTTATCGTGTCGATTCACCATTAAATACTATCTTCACTCCACAAGCAATGCATCAATATCTTAAAATATTCAATTTATTATGGCGTTTAAAACGTGTTGAGCATGATTTGTCATTTTGTTGGCGTCGTAACATGACCAGTGCGAGAAGTTTCCTCCGCGTAGAAGGTAATTTTTTTTAAAAAAAAAATAATTATCATAAATATGTTTCTAAATAAAATATTGATTTTAAGAATAAAATAAAAAAAAAATATGGTATATTTATTAGAATTACGAAAGGAAATAAATACTAGCAGATTAGTTTGTAGTGAGATGATTCACTTTGTATATCAATTACAGTACTATATCTTATTTGAGGTAAAAAAAAAAAAAAAAAAAAAATTTATTGATTTTGAAAATTTTAAATTATAAAATTTTATTTTTTTTGTTATTTTTTGTTAAATTGATTATTATTTAGGTAATCGAATGTTCGTGGGACGAACTTGTGACTGATATTCACAACCCTTCAGGAGACTTGGATTCACTTATAGAAGCTCATAATAAATATTTGTCCAATGTTTCTAACAAGAGCTTTTTAAATGCTTCAAATAATCAGGTTGGTTTTTTTTTTTTAACTGAACTGATAATCGTTATTGTAAATACACGATGAATTTTTTTTTTTAAGTAACTAAGCTCTTAATAAAGAATTACTTATCCAGGTTATTGAAGATAATAGGATTTATTTTTCAATACAAAAATTGTCTGGTATTACTTTCTATTAATATTATTATTTTTTATTTGTTTATTTATTTAACTTGCGATTATTTTGGCTGATAAAATTATTAAATTTATTAATCAGGATGAATTGCATAATCTCGGTGTAAAAGAAACGATACGCAGAGATAATAACAGTGGAAGTCGCAAAGACCAAGTATGTAAATTTTTATTTTTCTAATTTTAGTAAAAATAATATGTTTATTATAATATAATATTATATTATCAACAATTTATTTTTTAGAATCATTCTAGAAGTAATGATAAATCAGAAGATCCAAAGGCAATTCAAGAATGTTTAAATGAGGTTGCCGGGCAATTTAAGGTAATTCTTACTATTTTTTTTTTTTTTTTTTAATTGATCTTTTATTATTATGTATTCAAAACTTATGATTAAATTATTTTAATAATTTTTGGGTAATTCTATTATTCTATTATTCTATTTAGAGCGAAGTGGTGAATTTGTTAACTGCCTTGGCTCATCATCAAGATACAGATTTAAGATTTCTTAGTGTTAGTCTTGACTTCAATGAATTTTATCATGTTAATGAAAAATATCCTGGAAGCAGAAAAAGAACTCTAGGGAGTTGAATATTGATTGATTTAATTCCTTATAATAATTATTCATCAAAAATTTTCAACTATTATTATTACTTTGTAAAGTTTATCACTTGAATTGAGAGCTTCTGACTAATTCAATTAATTGTATTTAATTATATTTACAATTTTATTATAAGTAAAAAGTGAATAATGTGAATAAATGCTAAAAGAATTCGAACTTTATAATAATAACAGTTGATATTCTCTATCCGCATTCTATTACGAAGACGATGAACGTCGCCTTTCCCACTTTAACTTCAATGTGTAATCCCTATAACAATATAAGCAAAGATGATGCATTAACTTTCGTTGACCGCATCCAGGGCAATTTACAATATTGGTTTTATCTTTTAATCCTTTATTTGCTGAACGCATTCTCTTCTTTGAGTGAGAGGTCTTTTTCTTTGGAGCTGCAAGTAGAAAAGAACCTATTGCTTCAGAAAGGCCAATCAATGTACCCACTTTTTGTAAGGTCTTTTTCCAGAGGGTATTAATGGGGTTGGAATATGGTAAATTGATTAATATAGGTTTACTTATGTTGTTGTTGTATTGTAAAAAACTTTGACGAAAAAGGGCATTAGTTAGTTGAACTGTCATTGTGACTTCTAGAAATGTAATTGATAAATGTTAAAAATCTTTATAAATATAAAATATAAATTAAACGTATCCAATTTTCATATAATAATTACGTTAATTGATAATATCATTTCAATAAGTACAGGTTTCAGTTTTTTTACTCATACAAAAGAAAAAAACATAATTCGAGATAAAAATTCTTAAGAAAATCATGTGATTTAATTAATTTAGCTCAATATAATTTTTAAAAATTTAATGAAAATTATAGGGAATGACTACTCAAAAAATTGGAATGAAAAGTTGAATGAAGTTCGAAATAAAATTATATTTTCTGTAGACACCAATATTTATAAAACAATTACTCAGCGAGAAGAATATCTAAAAATGAGATTCAATTTGAAAAGGATTTTTTATTTATTGAATTACAGAAAGCATATGATTTACATAGAATTGGTAATAATTCTGTAGAAAAACAATAATGTAATAATTGTCAAAATTGACATCAAGCAACCCAATACTGTGAATTTTGTATTTGTAAATATTTAGAAAATGATTTTAAAAATTGGACATTTGGAAATAATGAAATTGACAAATTAATTCAAGAATGTCAGCAAAAAACTGTAGTATCACAGCATATAATTGAATGGATTAGTTATAATCAATTTTGAGAATATAAAATATCTTACAGAAGGAGGATGTGCTTTATTTATACTGCATTTTGGAAAGATAGACACTATCATAAATGGAATTCTGGTAAATATTGAAAAGATTTGGGAGACATAAGGTTGTTTTAAAAAGATTAAATAATTCAAATAGTAATAATATGCATTGGTTTCAAGAAGTAAATTAAATTATTATTATAACATTTATTAATTTCTGTTTAATAATTAAACATATTAATTAATATATTTACATACAATTGTTAGATAACATTAAATTTCACAATTGATAATACTTTTAGATATCTTGTCAAATATTATAAACTTATTAAAGATTCAATTATCCAAGATTATATGTTAGTTTATATTATTTTGATAAAGATTTAAAACACTTTTAATAGATAACCATTATCCTCTTTTGTAGGTACAAAAATATAGAATTATTTATAGTATATTATTAATTTTAATTAGATTTCATAATAAAAATATAATACATAGAGACTTAAATTCTGGAAATATTTTACATATTGCATCTAGCTTTGAATGGTATATTAGTAATCTTGGATTTAGTGAACCAGTTGAGAATCTCCTATATATTGCACTGGAAATTCTCTGTGATTAACTAAATCTGATATATATAATATAGATATATTAATATGGGAAATAATAACTGGTAAAATTTCTTTTAGTAACCACAAACATGATTTGAATTTATCACTTGCCATAATCAAGGATATTGATCAAAAATAAATGAAGACATTCTACATGAATTCATAACTTTAATAAAACAATGTTGGAATACTAATCCTGATAATAGACCTAATGTACAAACAATTGTTAATAAAATAGAATTATTAATTAAATCATATTATAAAGAAATAGATAAAAAACAAAAATTAACTAATCAAAAATCAAAAATATTTTCAAATTAACCTTAACAAAAAATAAAAATAATTATGAAATTACAAATGCTCAATTTATCAAAAACACAAGTACAAAAAGTAAAATAAATAGAATTCAAACTAGTAAAGTACATACATATGATATTTCAATTCTACTTAAGAATATTACTGATGATAAATATGTTCTGTTATTATTTTTTATTTTATTTTTATAATTTTAATTATTTTTTTTTATTTATTTTATAGAACAACAATATGGTAAATTAATTTGTACAAATTGGTTTTTTTTTTTTTTTAAGTTTCAGCAAGGCCTTGTCTCAAATTTATTAACTAAAAAAAGAGAAAGTCTCTTATATTATTATTACATAATATAAGATACACAACTTATTCTAATAATTATCAAAAAATGAGATTCAGACTAATTCGAATTGTATCAATTTATACAAATTGTTATCTTAGTGAATTATTATTTATTTAATCAATATTAAAAATAATATTTTCATCAAATTTATAAATATATCATTAGAATTCAAATTTGATATTTCTGAAGGTAAAAAATTATTTTAACTTATTAAATAAGATTAGTTAATATTTTGTTTGAAAAGATTTAATTTATTTATATTATATTTTATAATAATAGAATTGAAAAAAAATATCTTTTGCAAGTATTGGAATTGACATTTCAGAAAATTTATACATTAATTAATATGATTTAATTATTTTTATATTAAACTATTTGATGATTTATAATATTTATAATATGGTGTAATTTATACATGTTCTCAAAATTGATTTTGAATTCTTGAGATATTTCGACTTTTTGAGATTTATGCAAAATCTATTCTATATATAAAAGTAAAAAAGTACTCAGTTATATATATCTTTAATCAAAGAATAAATTTGAATAATTAAAAAATTTTAGGTTTTAAATAAAATAATTTTGTCTTCTATGAAAAACTATTTCAACTTTTTTTTCAAAATTACAATTTTGGAATTCCAAAATAATTTTACATACAAGTATAATGTAGTTATTAAATTTAATTTTTTTTTTTATTAAGAATATGTTTTTCCAAATTCAGGTTCCCAATTTCAAAAAATTTTCATGTATATCTATAATTGTAAATAATATGTAAATTAATCATATTCTTACTAAAAACATATTAATTAGTATAAGTTTATTAAAAATTCTTATCATAAGTTATATTTGATAATTCTACTTATTATGAAGAAAGTGTCTATAGTAAGGTTGAAATCTATTAGAAGCCAGTTATGATGAGTTGCTGTCAAGTGATGCTGACTGACCTTATTATATCAGAATTATTTTAGAAATTATTAATAATTAAAAGTGTTTGTGATAGAGTTGGGATCTGTTAAAAACCAGTTATTACAAGTTGCTATTAAGTGGTAACTAACTTTAATTAAAGAATAACTCTTTTTAATAATAACTTAATACCTTTTATTTTAAAATAATACTTAAAATTTTCTCTTTTTTTCAAGTAAGAAGAAAAAAAAAACTATCTAACAAGAATTAACAAAATAGAGATATAGATTGTATTAGGAAATTTTAATAAGTAAAAAATTATGCAAATTTTTACTCTACAAATTTTTACAAATTTCTGATATTATTGGAAGTTTGTGTAAAAAAATTTTTACAATATTTTACAATATTTCATAATATTTTTATAATATTTTGTAAAAATTTCCATAATGTTTTTACTAAATTTATAAAATTTGTATTTATATATAAACAATTTTTTACATTTTATAATTTATTAATAATTATTATTTTATTATAGTATTTCAAATATTACTATTATATTATTTATATTAATTTTAATATTTACAAAAATTTTAAAAATATATAAATATTTAAAAATTAATTTTTTATTATTCCTTCCTACTTTAATTAATATTTATTATTTCAAATGATATTTATCACCTTTATTAATTTCATCACCTTCATTAATTTTACTGCCTTCGTCAACTTTGTCATCATTACCATCATTTTCTTTATCTTTTCTTATAAATCTTATTTTTTTATTTTTTATTTATAAGATTTTAGTTTCAATAATTCTTTTATTTCTTCTGGAAGTTACTGGTCTTTTGGAAACTACTGATTTTTTGAAAGCTACCAGCTTTTTAAAAACTTCTTCTAACCTTTCGAAAGAGTCAAATTCATATTCAAAAATTTTATTATTTTCAATTTTATTAGTTTTCAAAAATTTAAAAATCTAATATAATATAGAATTACTTATTAGATTTTTTAAAAGAACTGTTTTATTATTTTCTCAGATATTTTATATTTTTATTATTTGGATTAAGAACAATTTCTGCAATAAAAATCACCCAGGTGATTTGTAGATTTGAAATTTTTTTTTTTCTTAAACCAGATACTTTTAATTATTCGAGTTATATAAGTATCTTCTTCACCTTCTTTAACTTTATCAAATAATTTTTGAAACCTGTTTAAAATGGCAAGGTTCTTTTTTCACATCTTAATTTTTGTGACTTTTGTTACAATGCTTATGGGGGTACTTTACAAACTTTGAAAATTGACATTTCACTTGTGCATACAAAATACTTCACAAGATTCAAAACTTTTTTGTTAATTACAAATTTTTAAAAAATTAATTATAAAACTTTTTAAAATGCTAATTTATAAATTCTTTTTATAATAGAATAGATCCCATCTATGACTTAAAGAAGAAAAAAAATATTATCAAATTCTTTCATAAAAGTTTTTACTGTTTTTTTAATAGAAATAATATAATTATATTATTTTACTTAATCTAGATTATTCCCATTCAGATGTGACGATGGGATTACATGTGTATCATTACTCAAATGACAATAAATTTATATTTGTGTTGTCAGACTTGAATACTTATAGTATATGAAAAATATGACAACTGATTTACATCTGTATCATCATTTGGTCATATATTGGGTTGACGATTGTAACTGATTTCTGTTATCAGGTCATTTGTAATATATCTTATATCAAGTTAGTAATTGTAATTGATTTTGAACATAAGTTACTTTCTAATATAAGTTATAGCAGATCAATTAACTTTATTGCGTGTTTGACAATCTAAATGTAATTATGTTATTGGACCATTTGTGATATATCTTTTATTGAGTTAATGATTATAACTAATTTCAAATATAAGCCACTTTTTGATACAGGTTATGATGAGTTAATTAGCCTTATCATGTATTTAATAATCTGAATATAATTATGTTATCATACTTATTTCAAATGGTGAAAAAATAATACTATCGAATACATGTTATTAAGTATATCGAAAAATGCTATTAATTATTACTGTCAAATCATATTCAAGTTATGTTTTAATTATATCTTTATTGATATATACATCATAAATGTTATCAGGTCATATTATCAAATTGATTTTACCTATATTTAAGACATGATTTATCAAAGTATATTGAATTACCT